TATGTATATATATATATATATATATAATAAAACAGTAACGATTATTAACTAAGTAAAAAAATCCACAATAACTAAAAATATATATGCAGACAATATTTTTTTATTGCAGTGTATTTATAATGTGCAGATTTTTTGTGCTGTCTACTGGGAGCACAGCTGGTTGTGCGGTCTGACAGCGGCGGGAAGGAAGGACCTATGGTACCTCGCCTCCATACACCGGGGGTGAACCAGCCCGTGGCTGAAGGAGCTGCCAGGGTGTCCTGCATGGGGTGTCCATCAGGGAGGATAGCTTAACCACCATTCTCTTCTCTCCCACCACTTCGACTGTATCCAGTGGACACCTCAGCACACTGCTGGCCTTCTTGACAAGTTTGTTAAGTCTCTTCCTGTCGGCTGTCGAGATGGTGCTGCCCCAGCAGACCACTCCATAAAAATGGCTGATGCCACCACAGAGTCGAGGCAGTCACCCCAAAATACCAGAGTCTTCTCAGCAGAGAATCTGCTCTGACCCTCACTACAATAACATTGTTGTGAATAATCAAAATGTTAATTTTGACAAGGGAGAATTGAAATCTGCAATATTTATCCAGTCTAGCAATAAGTAGTTCTAGCACCTTACGTAACATTCCACCAATCAAATCCCTTCGATTAAACCAAAAACAAAAAAACATCTGGTCCTCCCACCATGTCATGCCCTCCTCCTCCTCGGGTCAGGTTGACATTCTTGGCAGGTCACATATTTGTATGCACTGTTCTGCCTTTCATCCCAATGTTTCATGGCATGACTAATGTTCCCCAGAGACTCATAATGTTCCGTTTATCTTTTCAGATGTTTTTATGAAACCAAATATGCTGGGTTCAAAATAACAAATTATATGAGGTCACGTACGCTTATTCTTCAACAATGTTTATATGGCTTGCAATAGAATGTGTCAGGTTACAATAAATAGTTTAACACAGGCACAGTATATATTCCAATGTCTATCTACTCATGAAATGGAAGAGCACACAAGACAAATAGCAAAGGTTTGATTTAAGACTTTTTATGCATTTTCACATTGACGAGTTAAAAAGTGATACAACATTGTCTGTATGAATACTGCAATCAGAGCTGACTTTTCAAAGTAAAAAAAAGGAGATCGATCTATCTATCTATAGATATAGATAGATATATAAATAAAAATATCAAAATACCTGATATAGCTGAAAAGTTTCAACTGCATTCAGAGCAAAGAGATTTAACAAGTTAGAGTTGAATGTGTATACAGTTTAAAGGTAGCTGGTAAAAAGAACACTTGACACCAAAACATTCAAAAGCAATGCCATTAACACAAACAGCTGGTAAAACATATTTAAAGTGTGTGTACACACGCGCGCACACACACACACACACACACACACACACACACACACACACACACAC